CAGGCATTTACACCACATAATGACTAATATCACTCATTTTAGAAGTCATCAAATTGTTTTCTGAATTGCTTTGATAGTGAAGGAGGAAATTTTGTAGCTACGTGACTAAGGGAGGCCTTGGAGATGCACAGATTTCTTCATTTACACAAATGGTTATGTGGAGCAGGACTATGAGAACTTCGGTGTTACCTCATGTCCTGGGTATTGATGTGTGACAGCAACCAGGCTGCTTGTAGAAAACATGCAGTCAAACTGTTTTCCTGCCACTTTCACCTTAATGATAAATCTGATCCTGGTCAAAGCGAATAATTCTTGCGCTTGTCCTCTGAGAGCCACAGAACCACACAACATCCCGAGGTGGAGAGGACCCATAAGGTCCAGCTCCTGGCTCGAAACCAGAGGGAGATGTCTAAGAGCACTGTCCAAACACTTCTTGAACTCTGGCAGGCTCAATGCAGTGACCGCTCCCGGGGCAGCCTGGCCCAGTGCCCAAGCACCAATGGGTGCAGAACCTTTCCCTAAGACCCAGCCTGACCCTCCTGTCCCAGCCCCATGCTGTTCCCTCAGCTCCTGGGACCGTTGCTCTTCTGCTTTCCGTGTGAGTGTGGGTGTATACACACATGCCTGAAGCCCTGGGTGTCACTAATGTCTTTTCCTTGTGTTTACCTTACTCAGCAGATTCTGCAAATCTATTCCATGTATGGTAACTTAGCAGTTTCGTTTCCTTAATCCTTCCAGATTGTCGCACTGCACATCTAGGACCATACAGAATTAAAAGCTCCCTTCTACACCAGGCGTTCTCAAAATTGCTGTTGCTCCAACTGACCAACAGGCACTTTTTTTCTAGAATTTTAATGCAGTGACAGAGGGTCAAAATTATTAAATACCTGGAAAGCAATGCTCACAGTAACTTATTTGATGCAGTTTACTTGATCTCAGATGTTTGTGGTATTAATCCTATGGCAAATGTGGATTGTTTTGTGCTTGAGCAAAGCCTGATGCTTTATACGTGTAAAGATTTTAGGTTGATGTAAGCGTGGCTCAGCTGTACAGCAAAGAACCTAAAGAAATGCTACCTGGCTGCTTCGAGTTTCTTAAACCCCAGAAGCTTAGTTACATGTTCCCAAGTTCATTTTGGGGCATGTGACGGCGTTTGCTCATAAAAAGCAGATAGGATTCTTGAACTGACTTCTCAAAATCTGGCTTTAGTGCCTGGCCTTTCCTCTGAATCCTGGGAAGTACAAGTGTAAATAGGGTCCTTAAAGGAAAGGCAAACCCCAGGTAATTTAGTAAGATCATCAGAGCCTACACGTTCTTGGTACGTGTTTCTGTAGGAAGTTTGGGTAATTTTAGCAAAGCTTTGTTTATCAGCTCAAGTGAAGTCCAGAAAAAATTGCTGTGTCTCCCTGCTGTGTTAGATCCAAGGAAGAAAGCTCACCTGTTTGTAACTGCCAAATATCATAAACAAAGTTGCCTGATTTGTTTCAAATTTCATGGCCTTACTTTACTTCTGTTCGGCTGCTGGCAAACCCTGAGCTTTGTGTGGTTTTCAGCTTCGGTGCAAGCACACAAGTACGTAGGGATGTTACTGGGAATCAAATCTGTTTGCAGTGGAAAACTACTTGCAGGATTTTTTCCCCTGGGTGGAAGGACTGCTGCTGCTCCGTGATAATGAGAAAGTTGTAGCTATTTTAGGACCGTGATGGTGTAGGTTTTGAATTGTTCAGGACAATATTACTTTGCAGAAACTGTTTCTGGCAACCTGCCGATTTGTCAGAAAAGAAATAATAGAAAAGGAAATACTGCATGTTCGTTTTAACTGGTTTTGACAAAATTGTTTGCTCTTTGGAGACAGAGTCCTCCTCCTCCTATTTGGAGCTGTGTTCTTGTTGGATGGATGCTTTTAAATGGGACCTGGTGCTTGCCTGTTGCCTGAAAATCACAGAAATGCAGTAATTCAGGGTGGAAGGGACTAATGGGGGTCTCATTCACCCCCTTGCTTGAAGCAAGATCAGCTTTGAGATCAGACCCAGTTGCTCAAAGCTTTATTCTGCTGGGTCTTCAGCCTCGGAGGAAGGAGGACTGCAACCTCCCTGGGCAGCACTTTCACTGCCTGCCTGCTCTTAAGGTGTAAAAGTGCTGGCTTTTTCTTGGGTTTTTCTTCTGCTTTATATCGAGACAGGATCTCACCTGTTCCAGTTTCTCTGTTGCATCGTCCTCTCATGGTTCAGACCCTGTCTGTCTTCTCAATGCCTGCTCCTCTCGTGTCCATCTGCTCAAGTCAATGTCTGGCTGGTATTAGGGTCCAAAAGCAGGAACTGTTCTAACTGCTGTCTGACAGGTGCCCTATAAAGAAAAGCTTAATTACCTGACTCAATTCATTTAAAAAATAAAAATCAGGGAAATGCGGTTGGTCATAAATGTACTGCTTAGGTTTGAGGGTTTTAAAGTGTGACTGGGTTTCAAAGCAACATTTAGGTAGCACTAAAAATTCTTCCACTTAACACTGGTGGAATGATTTGCACCAGCTTTTTTAATGAAAACATTATGAATGGATTAAAAGCAACATCTGACAGACGACACTTACCTCCAATACATATTTATTGAACTTAATTAGCTCTGAATAAGTCTAATTTGCATCATTGAAGTGTCGGCAATGAAGCAGTAATTGGTTGTAATACTATAACGAAATATTCTATAGAAATGGGAGTCAGTGAGTGAATTCATTCTCACTTAATGTTTAAAAAAATCACTCTTATGGACTGTTGGACAGATTTCATACAAAGTAAGCTTGCTTACACAGAAGCGTGCACCCAAATTTCTGCTGTAAGAGCTGAAAAAAACATCTCATGTGCTTGCTGTGGCACGGTGGGATGGCAGCGTGGAGGGAGGATGTCCTGCTGTATGCAGGCTCGGCATGTATCCTGTCTCAGCTTCTATAAAGTGCTTTTCTGAGCATATTTGCTGCTTGATCCTCTTATGCTGAGATTTAGAAAAGGTATAGGTGATGTTCTAGAGTCAAATGGTTGTTTCGGAAACTTGCCTTGTGAAATGCTGCAGCTCGCTCAAAACTTGGTGACTGTAGTAGGGGTGGAAATAACATAGGAAGCAAAGATAGAAAGGGAGGGCTTTAAAACTCCTCATACGTTCCTTGTACGAGCAGCAGAAGCGCGTGGAGGCAGCAGCCCCCAGATGAGCCTTTGCCCATAGGAGATGGGGCTGCAGGGGGTGCACATCTCTCCTGCTGCTTTTTACTTCGTATGGAAAACAGTTTAATAAGAGCTTCTTGGTGACATGCACCTTATATCTTTATGAATACCTGCTTTTAGAAAATGTAAGCCTGCTTTTAGAGATTTAGGAAAATCATCTGCACAAATGCTGGGAGTTCAGTGCCAAACTAACACAGCAATATAGAAAAAGACAAATCTGCCTTAAGCTTTGTACTATGTCAGGTTTTGTAGGGAAGGAACAGCTGCCAAAACACTCTGTTTTGTAGTCAAAATGTTTGTCTCCAATGTTGCAGTGGTTTTTCAGTCTCAGGTAGTCTAAAAGCAGTGATTTCATGTTGTTTGCTAATAGCATCTCATTTAAACGGATGGAGTTGCACTAAAATTAGTTCAGGACCCCTCTGCTGCAGGATAAGGAGAAAGTTGAGACCGGAGGAGACCTAGGAAGGATGTAATAAGTGTGGCAGGGTCACGCAGGCTTTCAAAGGCTTTTTTCTTCATTTTTCAACTTCAGGTTTCTTTTTATTTGCTTGCGGTGAGATTTTGATGTCTTCTGGTAAGCTGTATCACTGCATATTGCGGTGTTAAACACCATGTCAGGTTTCCTGTGTGTTCCTTACGAAATATGGAAGATTTGGGCACCATAACGAGGTAACAAAGCTGTAGCAGTTAAGGTCCAGGTTTTCCACTTTGTGGCTGCACTGTTTCCCTGTATTGTTACAGTAACCTCAGAGGTTTTCCTTTCATTTTGCAGTTTAATCTGTTCTTACTGCTCCTGTAGGACAGCCCAGTGGTGTGCAGGCTGACTCGTTGTGGTGCAGACATCTGTACAAACTTCTTTCATTGAGTAGTAGGAAGAGAGCCTATTTTAGGCTAGAATGTGTGGATGATGTTGTCTGTAATCCCCTAAAACAGTAACTCTGAAAGATTAGTGCACACTGTCAACTCAGCTTGACAAAGAGTGTGTGATTAGTGAAAGGGAGGCAGAACTTGGTGTGAAGTTGCTGTTTGCCTTCAAGAATGAGCATTGTCCCAGTGTGTGTTGTAGAGTTCCCCTGTGCGATGTTACGAAATGATTAAAAAAATTAGTCCTGTGTCATGCAATCTTGTCTCTTAATGTCATTTAAAACGAAAAACACCACCACCCACACGCTTTCTCTTTTAAATCGACGCTCTTCAGACCAGAAGGCTGGACACTCCCCCTTCTGGTGGGCTAACTGAAGTTTCAGTTTTGGAAATGGGGATTAGGTTTAACTGTAAAAGTACCACAGAACTGCTTTTTTCTTCTCTCCTTTTTTTTTTTTTTTTAGCTTCATCAACCAGCTGAGTGTGTTGACACACATGTGATTTCCAGAACAGTGCAATAATCTTGTAGCTTGTTCTTGTTTTCCTGCATCAAAATTCTCAATACAAATGTTCCACATAGGCTGCGTTTCCTAGCATGTGTATCCTGTCTCTTAAAATAAGTACCACGTCTGTTGGCTTGACTAAAAATAGTGTTCAAACAACTGAATTATAACATACAGACAGAGTTGAGTATATTTGAGAGCTGTTCCCAGAGCTATTAATGAGTTTCTTGTTAGATTTGGCTGCTTTTAAATAGTGGCCTTGAATTACAAGACATCATGTCTTTTTTCAAAGTAATACTAACTTGTAAGACATTCTTGGAAGCTCTTGATGTCTACCAGCAGACTACTAATGTCTAAATCTCTTCTGTAAGCAGTGTGCATGCTAAGAAGAAGTTTAAGTCTCCAATTTGTGCTTTCTCTTCAGATACTCAGTATGGCCTCATCATCAACACCTAAATATAATTCAAACTCCTTGGAGAGCTCCTCAATTAAAAGGGTGAGTGCAACTTTCATGTTTTCTATGACAGAGGTCCCAAAGACCATTATAATGCTTCCATATTTAGGTAGAAAACTGAGTATTTGAATTATTTTTTTCTTGATTATATATATACGCACGTTTTTATTGCTAGAATTCAAATGCTGTTAACTAGTCTGGTTTAAATCTATTTCAGAGTAGATGGGAGGAATATTCTCTGGAACACAAGTTCTGAGAACCTCCTTGATGTCAATTCTAATATACTTTTATATTTGCTTTCTACGTTGAAATATTTTGTTGTTCTTGCAAATTTTTGACAATTTTGTACAGTAGAGAAATTCTGTACTGCAGTTGAGTTATTTCTAGTTAGGTTTGGCTGGTTTGTTTTTTAAAATGTTGGTCTTTAGTGGGAAATATTCGTGCTGAAGCAAGTTCACTTGTGGCTGAAGAAAATGCCACTTGTTTGCAAGAAAACAGAGCCTCAGGTTTTAGTTATCTGTAAACACTTTCTCAAAACCATAAGTTTTTATTAATCATTCTTAGAGGCTACTGAATGTGCAAAGCACAAAGTAGTAGAGTTTGTGTGATATTTGTGAGTATGCTGCTGAAGTGCTTTTCCTTGATTGTTTATCCAAGACAAGCAGATCTGGAAAACTAAATGTATGAAATTTTAGAGGGGAAAAATGGTACAGAAATTTAATTCAAATTTTCTGCAAATATATTTAACTGTTCCTTTAGAATGAGAAGGCTTTGTCAAATAAGCACATTTCTGCTCAAGCTTTAAATAATTAATAGCTGCAGTTCAGGATAGTGGCGTGTTCCTGTTCTGGTTTAGTATGTCTGTTTCTACTGTGGAAAACCCTGTTCTTTCCCATGCAGAAATTAAGATTTATTTTTTAAATCTGGAACTGGAAATAGTTGTAAAAATATGATGGGCTGTTATATTTCTTTCTTTAGACTCTACAAGATGGAACTAACTGGGAAAAAAATGAAGAAATACCTCGTCTGCCAGGAGAGACTAGAGTTACAGGTAAGAGGTTATATAGCATCTAATGCAGTGTATGTCCAAGGAGTCTGGCATGTGCAACCTTAGCCCAAACCATGATTACCGGAGGTATAATCTTACGCTTCCATGATAAAACGTGGCATGCAGCTAGCTTTTTGCACACTTGTTAACCTTCCCATACTGTGATATCACATGAAAAAGATTAACGTGTTGTGTGCAGTGGTTCTTTACTTGGTGCAGGTTCTTCCTGGGCTGGAGCCTCGCACTCATGGGCATTTGCTATGAGGTATTAGAAAGCAACTGAAAGAGGCCTTTATTTATGAAGCTGCTTCTTCCTCCCCACACAAGTACTTGTTAGATTAACTTGTGAACAAAACTGGCTGAGCTGAAACCAAAGTGGTGTTTCAAAGGAAGTACCTGTGTTCAATGAGGAAAGTGGTGGGGAAGGCATGAGAGGATGTGGGGCTAAGAAGAATGTTTGGTGTGATCCTGATGACAATTACCTGTGCTTTGGGGGAGCACGCTGGGAGGAGGGTGCTTGTTGTGGAAGGCAGATAAATGGTGTGGGTTAAAGAAATAAGTGGGCAGGGAGAAATACGTCATTTGTATTGCTTCACTTAAGTCTTCAATGGCACTGCTTCAGTTAATTTTTTTCTTTTCTTTTGAGTTGTGTGTGTGCTAGAACTCATTCTTTTACTGTCCTTGCTGAAACGGTGCTGATGGCCCTGCTACAATTGATTGCCTCAAATTGAAATGTAATGGTTCTCTTCAGGATGGAGAGTCTCCTAAACACTTTACAACCTGAACTACATACTTTAATGCAGGAGAATTGGTTACAGCACACTAAAAGATGTAAGAGTATCAACAAAAGGATGTGTTCGCTCTGGGATAGTGAATAGACTAGTTCAGTAATCACAGGGAGGACTTAAATCTAGTCAGTGTTCTATGTCCTGCCCTCTCCTGCACTGTGCCAAGAAAGAGGAAAAATACAAATGTAACTGGAAAGGCTAGTGGAACCTGCTGAAGAAATTCAGGCAAGTTTAGTGTGAAAAAAAGTTCACATTTTCTTAATAATTCAAATGGATAAAATTTAGATTTATTACTTTAATTCATTCAGCTTTCTTCAGAGTGGCTCTCATGAGTGCAGCTGTCTTTATTTTACTGCTGCTTAATTGATGTTTTCCATAGCTTTGATTTTTCTTCTCCCAATGCTTAAGAAATGCTGCATTTCTTACAGATAAGGATGTTATTTACATGTGTCCGTTTAATGGCCCTGTTAAAGGAAGAGTATACATCACAAACTACAGGCTGTACCTGAGAAGTCTGGAAAACGTGAGTAATATGCCACAAATAGTTCCAAGGGATGCAGGAGCCTTAAACCCTCTCTTCTTCAACCCTGCTGCCTTCACTTAATTTTGCGGGCAGTTCATTTGTTTTTAGCTTTTGTGCATGCATGCTTGTGGAATGGCATGGGAGGCTTTTTACTTGAAATGATCTGTAACATTTGTAGTAACCATATCTTAATAGTTTAATGGCTAAACAGTAATTGCCTTTGTGCCATTGAGAAATCCTTGCAAAAATGGAAGCTCCTTGAAGTTGAACGTGTTGTAAATGCATGCTTTTTTTCCTCCAGTAGAGCTACAGTTTAATTGCTTATCCTGGACTGATGATACCTTTACCTTCTGTCTGTCGGAGCTTTTTTGGTAGCTCTTCTCTTCACATTTATAGTGTGATAGAACAAAACCAGCAACTAACGATGTGCAAATAGTTCTTGAAATGGCTATCAGTAAGTCAAGATTTTGACTGTCCTTGCTGTTGGAAAAGAAAAATACTTCAATTAGTAGAATATCACATGGGTGGCGAGAGTAGTAGTGTTCAGTAAGCAGCAACATAAAAGAAAATAGAATGTACTTATATGTTTGCATCTTTTTTTGTTTGCATCTTTTTTTTTTACTAAGGTTCTAGGATTATTGAAGTGAGGTCATTCTGGTTGCAACTAACTTTTTAGTGATATTTTTCATTTTGTTCTGTTTTGTTCTATATGTCAATAAAGTAGTCACAGCTAGCAGAGGAAATCAGAAGTGTGCAACGGACAAGATGGCAACAACAGGGTGTTGCCATCTTTTTTCCTGCATGTTCAGTCTTATGGCATGAAATATTTTCTTTGCCTATACAATTGGGTGATTTTCAAGGACTGTACAGACTTTGTGAAGTGTTGGGAGAGGGCACTTGATCAAACCCAGAAACTCACTTCTTGCTTCCTCTGTGTATTTCATTCTATTGTGGTATGCATAAGAATACTTCTCCTGAGTTGTCTTCTCTGATTAATCCTCTTCTTACCCTGAATTTCATTGCAGGATCCAGTTGTGGTATTGGATGTTCCATTGGGTGTAATATCAAGGATTGAAAAAATGGGAGGAGCTTCAAGCAGAGGAGAGAATTCCTATGGATTAGATATAACGTGTAAAGTAAGACCTTTCAATAACTCATTAGGAAATGAAATCTACAGATTCCCTTCCTCACTGCTTGCCTACTTATTGGAAGGAAAACTGTGTAACACTCACAGCTGAATTTAAAAAGATTTTTGGAAGTGGTCAGAGAAACACTTCTGTATGAAGACTACTTACTGTTGTCTCTGTGTGAGGAGAGGGATTGGTTATCTCTTCATAACTGCTGATTGACAAGGGATTTTTCACAGTGGTATTGTTTTAAGGCATTGTTCCTCTATCACTTAATTATTCATTAATTCTAAAAGTAATTTCTTTTATAAACCAAAAATCTTTGAAGAACAACTCAAATAGATTTTGCAAGCTGGAAAGGCATCGAATCACATAACAGCTGTCTTTCCTTAGTCTCTCAAAAAATTGTGTTGCCATGAATAACTATGGTCATAGGGGAATTCCCAGTGGATAATCTAGGATCCTGTATTTGACTCATTAATAGAATATGTATGCACACTTTGTTCTCAGTAGTTCATGTGCAGATTGCTTATTCCTGAAGTTAGTGATGAGAAAACAGCTAGGGACAATGTAGTCTGGTGCTACAGATCAGTGGCAAATTTTTACTTGGAAATCATAGGGCAAATCCCATCCTGTACTCATTCAGTAGCCTATGAGACTTCTTGGTGAATCGGATACAGGCACTTCTGGTGGCTTTATGCCAAAGCAGTGTTTGCACAACACAGAATGTGGTGCTGCATTACTGGCAGAATTCTTAATTCTTCTATTGTGTGGTATAAGAAAGAAAACTGAACATTCACAACTGTTTGAGGTGTGTTGCAAGCAGATCATAAATCATATTTAGTATATAATATAGCATTTGTACATCAGAAAAAAGTACCTTACTGCTTTGGTTCACTTAAAGCACAATGCCTTTGTTTTAGGATATGAGAAATTTACGGTTTGCATTAAAGCAAGAAGGGCACAGTAGAAGAGATATATTTGAAGTCCTCACAAAACATGCTTTTCCCCAGTCACATAACCTGGTAAGTTTGTCATTTATATTACTGAGTCATTTTAATGCAGAATTCTTGCCAATGAGCTTTAAGTGTTTGACCTACTAATGGACATCATGGCTGCTTAAAAAGAGTAACAACAGATTTCTTGTGTCAGTGTAAACTATGGAGAACTGTTGCTTTTTGTGCCCTTAGAACACTTATATCTATGTATTTGTAAAATTACGGATGCTTTATTCTATGCCTCAAGTAAACTACTGAGCACCTCTGGTCTGTACAGATATCATTGCTTTAAGGAGTGCAAGTTATCCTTCTTCATTAGGAAGTGTAATAGTACATGTCTTGCTTGACTTCTTGAAAACACTGAACTCTTGGGCAGTCTCAAAGGCAATGATTAACGTGAATCACAGAGAGCTATACTTCAGGAGAAGCCAACGCTTGTTTTATCTGTAGTTATTGGTGAATAATATCAGACAGCTAATGCAGTAATGAAATTGCACAGACTTATTGAGGGTAAAATTAAAACAAAACCAAACACATCCTATGGAAGGAATTGAGCTGAACTTTAAAATGAGCTAAGCAACTGCATGATATTTTTGGTGTGCTTTCAGTATATTTCAGCCAGTAATTTAAACTGATCCTGCCAAAAGTGAGTGTTTCTGCATGGTTGTGAGTTTCTGAGGCTGTAGGGTGAACCAGCTAGGGAACTGAAATGGATGAAAGCTAAGTAAGGAGGAAAAAAAAAAAAAGCTTTACCCTGAGTCATTTCCTCAGTCTGGTTAGCTCTAGCCTGAGCATGGGGGTGGAGGGCGAGGACATCTGTGGATGCTCCTTGCAGATGGATGTGAATGAACATGAAAATGTTCTGCCTCTTACTGTGGCTGTTTTAAAACAAGGTTTTGCTGGCTGAGTATGAGAGTATGTCTGGGCTGTGCATGACACTAACACTTAGTGGCCAGCAGGGAGATCTTTTAAAAAGATAGTGCTGTGGCTTGGACCAGATGATCCTAGAGGTCTTTTCTAACCTAAATAATTCTATGATTCAGATGACAACTGGGTGAAGATGGCAGCTCTCTGCTTCTGAAATGCTGCAGTCTTGCTGTTTCTCTGGTTGTCTTCATTCGCCTTCTAGCCACGTGGTTGGTTCTTCCTCTCATGCCAAACTGCCAGTTGTATAATCACAAAGTAAGCCAGTGTAGCTCACTTACCCAGAACAAAATGTTCTGTTTTCTGAGTTAGCTTTGTGCCATTTTTAATAATTTGACAAGACCTGATTTGTAATTAGTACGTGTCAGAACCAGTGCAAGAGAAGGGCACAAGTGATACAGGGTGCAGGCAGGAGAAAAAAAGAGAAGACATCCTGTTTTTTTAGCAGTGTTAGCTGGCAATCTAGCAGTTTAGCTGGTAATTTTGCTCAGACCACATTGTGGAACTGCACCCTGGGTCTTTGAGTGGTTCAGCAGCACTCATGCTACTGCAGTGGAAAGAAGGTGTCATCAGGACAGTAAAGATTAATATTGCTTCTTTTTTCTTTGTGGTATCTCATTCTCAGACAAATGGTAGGTAAATACAGCCTGAGATGTTATTTCTGAATGGAGTGTGCTTAATTTCAAGATTTTTCTCCAGAATCATCAGACCACCAGTGCCTGAGAACCTAGGAATAAATACCTAAGCCTGTTCTCAACCATTCATCAGTCTCAACATTGTCTTTTGTGCTTATTTGTCTGAGCTTGTTCTTGGCTCTCTCCAGTTTTAGGCATAGGTCAGGTTCAGATCTCCAAGAGTCACTAACATAATACAAATCTAGTAGCTCATCTGACTGACAGTTTAGCTGCTATGGGACAAACATGCTGTTTATGATCTTCTCTTGCATTTGTAATAGGATGCTAATTGGAAATCTATGCTGAAATAGTGTTTTTAAACATGAAATGAAACACAAGCCAACCTTATGTATTTGTAGTACCCCACAAAAGATGAGATTTAGTCTGCAGTTTAGTTTCTGAACAGCAGCTGCTTCACTTCCTCTTAGTCGGATACTTATGTCATCTTTTTTATAAGATTATTCACCACCGTAGTACTTGCATGATACTTATTTATTTCTAACCACTATAGTTGTGTGGGAGAGACATGGTAGTCATGCTGTCTGACTTCCACCTCTCTCACTCCTGCTATAGCTGGTTATCCTGGTAATTTAAAGTGTCTGGGAGTCAGATCCTGCCACTGTTGCTGTTGGATCTGCGAGGATGATTTTAGATAGCAGTGAGACCTGGTATAGGGGCCTATCTGTTGGAGCACATGCAAAAAATACCTTGACTCGAGGCTTTGTTCTGAATAACATCTGGCAGTCTCAGTGCAATAATGGTAAACTTAGCATTTTCAGAAATTATTAAATGCTAGTTTTGTAAATACCACATCATCTGAGTTCTGTTTTCAGATGAACAGGTAAGATGTAGCTGGCTGAGTTGTAGTAATAGTGTTAAAAGTCAAGAATAATGACATCTTTATTTTCAGACACTCTGAGAAATGTCAGCCTCTTCACTGAGTAAAAGTGTCATGATTTATGATGTATTAAAAGTATAAGCCAGTAAGTTAGAAATAGGTGAAAAAAAAAACTTCTTTTCATGTTTAACTCTAATTCTAGCTTTGTTACTTTCTTCTCTTGTAATGTATAAAGTCAAAAAAGAACGCTTTAATAAATTGTTATATATTTATGTACTGAAATTCTATAAATATGTAACTATGTGTAGACTGCCTGGCAAACTGTCTTGTCAGATTGTAGCTGCTCTTTCCTTTATCTCACAGAACTACTTAGTGTTGTGAGTAACCAGTATATCATGTTATTTTTTTTGTGAGCAAAATGGTAATGATGAAGTTGAATCTTGAAAGCAAGTACTTGGTCTGTAGGAGGACTGAAAAAGAGGCTGTGTGTGTTGAAACTGCAGCTTAGCACCTGCAAGGAAGTAAACAGAATTACTTGCACAGTGAAGCATAAAAAGTAGTTTACCAAAAATGTTACAAGATTGGAAGCCTTGTTTTAAAGTGAAGTGTTTTCTGCTTTTAGACCATGGATCTGCAACAAAATCCCTAATTTCATTATATGCAAAGAGATTTTAATCTGCTTTTGCAAAATCTTAATGAACGTATATCATGTTTTACTTGTTCTTACTAGCTACAGGTATTGATAAGTCATAAGCCTTACATCCCACAGTTTTTTGGAGCAGTTATTTAATATGCTCTTTTATTTCTTATGTCTTTAATACTTGCTTCAATTTCTTTCCATTTGCCATGATAGCTGAAAAAAACGAAACTGATCACTTCCATGCAATGAGTAAGACTTTGTAGTAACCAGATTAAGTGTATAGAACACAATGTACACATAGTGTATACAGTTTTTGTTGTAATAGTCAACTCTTGCAGAAGAAATAATTTTACTCTTTAGTATTTTTAGATACTGTTCTGATTTTAAGTGCTGTTCTTGTTGGATTTACTTATTCAAGAGTTCTCTCTTAGAATTGCTTCTATAAAAATCTGAGCCCAAGCTTTGTTCCACTTTCACATCCATTGTAGTGTTCTCTTATTTGTTAGACTACAGATTTTTGATGTGATGCACACTACTGATTTATTTCTTTCTTGAGCAACAGAGGAAGAATTTGTACTACCTGGAATGTCAGCAGAACTTACAAAGCTTAATTGTCAAATTTAATAGTTGTGGGTTTTGTGGCTCTGAAAGGTTTTGTGGTAGATGTGCTGTAACGTTGCTGTAGCTAAGTGCTTTAAATGACATGTGTCATACATATCAGGGCAGTGTTGTCTTGGAAAGGATTCTGTCCATCCCCTTCTCATGCATTGTAAACTTAACTCTGTCTTTCTGAAGGTTAAGATTAAATTAATAAGATTAAATTTTCCTTCTGACTTCTTGTGGGCTATTTTGTGGGCGAGGTGAGCAGCATGTCTCTGGCTTATTTCTAGTTTGGAGCAGCACCTTCTTGATTTTTCTCTAAAATCCATATAAAAATGTATGCATTTATGTATTGTATTTGTCACTGATGAAGCTGGGTAATTTATAAATCATCACTAGGAAACTAGCAGTGAGTAGCAACTTGAATAACATACTGATGGCTTTGAGACATGTTTAAAGCATTGTGTTATTATTCCAGTGTTTCTGAATCCTAAGCTTCTCCCTTATCTCTTTGGTTTCTTGGTGGATTCTTAGCATAGTTTGCTATCTGGGATATAGCAAATTCCTTTGGGGAGGAAAGGAATTTTTTTGCATGTAGCTGTTTATTAATAGCTGAGCAAATCAGTTTCATCTACAGTTGTAGATAGTGAGATTCCTGGTTTGCAGTTTAAAAAAAAAAAAAGGCATTTTTTTCTGCTTACTTTCTGATACTTGCATATAATTCTAGTGAAATGTTTTTTGATGCAGTTGATATCTGCCTCTTTCCTATTTCCTTTCTTTGTCTCTACTTCCAGCCCACCTGATAGCGGTCTCCTTAACCAAGAGTGTAATATTCACTTACACGGAAGGCTTAACTATTTAAAAAGGGGAAAACATCCAGAACATACAACTTGGGAATGCTTTGTTTGCTTTTAGGACTTTGCCAGTAAATGTACTTGCTATAAAATACTGATTTCATTTAAAATCCTAAAACTAGTGGGGAAAAATCTCCTGTGTGTGCAGTAACTTCCTTTTGAAATGCTTGCTGATTTGAGATACGTGAGGAAAAGCCTTCCTTTCAGAGGGATTCAGTTTTGTATTTTGATTGCTGCTGCTTGCTGTTTAAACCATTCTAACTTACTAGGCTAACCAGAACTGTCTTCAGTCATTGCTGCTGCCTTCGTAAGATGTAAAGAAACTTCCATCTGTGCTTACTGGTGCGTTCATGAAGCATTGCTTTACCTCTAGATGTAATCACAGCACACTAAAACCATGTTTTTTCACCCCTTTTGCCAAGTTTTTTCCATTTCTGATTTGCTCAGGTCCATTACTGTGTAAACGATGGTTTTGGGATGTTATGTTTAACATTTGGTTTCTTCTGTTAATATCTCTGAGTAGCTAGGAGACCTTCAGCTTTGTTGATGCAAGTGAGCCATGAAAGCTCTTGAATGCTCTCTGTTCTGACTGCTGCTGCTCCGTTAGCTCAGCGCAGCAAATTCCCTTCTGCTGTGTTTTGAAACAACTTAGTTTCATGCTCCAGTTGGCATCCAAAGAATTCATAAGCCACCAAAATCAATTTTCTCAATGAGGCAGATTCTTAAAATAAACATTGTTTTGGCTTTCATGATAAACTGTAAAAACAAACCAAGCAAGAAAAGGTTAGCTGGGCAGTACAGCTCACTTGGAATGGGCTGGAAGGAGAAGGAAAAACAAGCTGAAAGGTATGAGGAAGTTGTTAGTCCTCTGTGAGGATGCTGTGTTTTATAAATAAGTCTCAAGAGTGGGTAATAGAGCAAGAGAAAAGCAAATAGTATAACCCACCAACGACATATTTTGTTTCATTTTCACTGGCCTCTTTTCAGTCTTCGTGGAGTTTTACAGTAAAGCAGACTTCTGTTAGTAAGGAGCAATTGGAGAGGGGATGCAGAAAGAAGGCTGCTTCCTAATGGTAGAGAATAGTGATTAAAACTTTTTTATGCTTCCAATTTAGTGTCTAACATTTTGAGCAGTATTTGCAGTTGTACCTATTGGAGAAATTTTGGTGAGAAGACAACAGTTTGTTTAGTGAGGATTAAATACAGGAACTGATACAAATTATTTTAAAACACTTCACTCTCCTGACAGTGAACTAAAAGAATCCCACAGTTTAAGCTTTGTAATTTTTATGCGTCTTTATCACTTCTTGTTCTAAGTATTGCCACGCTTTCATTATTTCATTAATGCGTTTGTATTGTTTATAAACCTTACTTTTTGCTTTATGGTCTCGTATCAGGTTTAAATGGGATGGAGTGGGGTTGGTATGAATGTCGGTCCTGTTTTGTGGTAGGCACTGGGGTGTAACTTACTATGAGTAATGAGCCTTCATATTTGCCACCTTCGGTCAGTTTGCTGTAATAAGCTTCTCTTACATCCTACAGCTTTTTTTTGCTTTTTCAAATGAAGAAAAGTTTTCAGAGAATGGCTGGATGGTGTACAATCCAATGTCCGAATACAGGAGACAGGTAAGTTATTAAAGCTGCAGCTGTGTGGTGCTTTCCTGGAGTTATTTTTTTGTACGTATCACTTGTCAGCTGTTCTGGGAGGGTGGAAGGGAGCTAAGAACTGGAGAAGATAGAAATGCAACTTAAAGTAGGTAAGGAAACAAAGCACTGGAAGAGTTTTGTGTTTTAACAACAACAGAAAAAAAGTCACAGGAAGGTAGTCCTTGCTCTTTGAAGGAAGTTTTTAATACCAATTACAGTGTGTCACTGTTAAGTGGGTGGTGGTGGTGGAGAATGTGACAAATACGCAACAACAGTGTCCTAAATATAGATTTCACTTAGTCTGATTCTTCAGGAAGTTTAATAATAATAAAAATAAAGGCTTACTTCAGAAATAGAATTACTTTACATATTATTTATATGTTAATCAGTTTTCTCTTTAGATGATTGTGGAAAAATGTTAATGAAAGGGGATAACGTTATTTAATTTTAACATTTCTTACTATTAGACAGTTTGTTTTTGCTTTAAATACTACAGTTAGAACGTTCTTCCTTTTTCTCCCCTCTGTAATTTGTGATGGACTGAAGTGTATCCAGACATCCACATGATCCATTTGGTTAAAGGTAGAGGCCCCAAACCCTCCAAAAAATAAAATGCAAACACCCGCACAAACGCCATTGTGTGTGGAGAGCTTATCAGTCTTGCTCAATTTCCTGACTGCTGTTTTTGAAATACTTTACTGAGCAGACTGCAACCAGAAGTTTGTTAGTGGAAAGGCTGTCTTGAATCTTTTTTTTTTTTTTTTAATTGAAGGCAGCATCAGACTACAAGGAAGAAAGGTTGAGATCAGACTTCCTCCCCCTCTTTTCAGGGCTGTAATCTCTTTTCAGCAGGCGAAATGGAAAGGCAGTGCTTTGAGGGAGGAGAGAGAAATTTTCTTTCCCTAGTTCCTGGACTGAAGAAATGCTTCTACTATTTTAGATATTGTTTTGAAAGCTGTGAGGACAGAATTGTGCATGTGAAGAGTATACGTGAAATATATGTAGCTAAGACCAAATCCATCAGCAGTGGGCTGTTTTCTGTGGTCTTGTAATTTTTTTTCTTCTATTGTTTTGAAATACTACTGTAGTTAGGTTAAGTTGGTAGCTTGTTGCCACCATGTGGCCGTAATATCATGTGAAATTTGAGAACAGAATTGCTGGTTGTACAGGTGAAATATGTTGAAAAACTTTGTGTTGCCTTTTAGGGACTGCCTAATGAACGGTGGCGAGTGACTTTTATTAATGAGCATTACGGACTGTGCGACACATATCCGTCACTCTTAGTGGTGCCATATAACGCAACAGATGATGATCTGAAGAAAGTTGCTGCCTTTAGGTCTCGAAATAGAATTCCGGTGAGTACTGCTGATGAAAGTTGTCTTAGGCTGTAGCTAGTTTTGTTTCCAAACAACTTTTTGCTGAACATGACACAGAGGATGCCTTTTTTATGGAAATGGTTACAGCAAAGTTGTTTTGACTGGCTGAATTTTTTTGTCTATTTAAAACTAGTGTGATGGCCAAGCCTCATTTCCTACAACAATTATGCATTCCAACTTTGTTGGTTTTGACTTGACTTTTCTAGTAACAACTGCCAGCATTGCAGATTCCCTTCTCTTAATGAAGTATGAGCCTAGGACTGCCATCTGTACGAGCTTATTGACTATTGTTGCATGCACGTAAGAAGTGATAGCAAGTGTTATGCTTCTCATGTGTAAGCGAACTGAATGGCATTTTAAACAGTAGTTCCAATGATCTCTCCTAAAACAAAATTTTGTGCGTAGTCGCCATAGTGAATTCTTGGGATATTTAGTCTATACAATTTTAAATCAGGCTGTGGAATTTAAGATAAACCCATTTGACTCTCTGGGCATATTTCTCTAACTACAATTCTTTGAGGTAAGAGAATTTTTATGTAGCAGCTCTTTACAGCACTGTAGAAAATACTATTTTGTAGTACAATACAATCTCTTATCTGATGTTTCAACTTGGCAAACTTGCAGAAGGTGTTAGATACTTAGCCAGTATCAGAAAGCTGCCTTGAATCTCAGCTAATATCAAACAGATGGGAAATTCAAAATGATAAATGTTTATTAGATGGTATTCACTGACAGCCTAGGATTATAGTCATATATTTACTGTATATACACACGTATATGTGTGATATATAATACACATATAGGTTAAATATATATGGGAAACTACTCTTCATTTTTTTTTATATGTAGTGTGTGTGTTTGGATGGTTCTTATAACCAATCTGTATCTTCTCTATTATCTCAAAATGCATGGCAGATTTTTTATACAGCCTGTAAAGTGACAGTAATTTCCTTGGTAATAATAATTTTATTCTTGACAAGAAATAACCAGTCCTATTCACACAGACAAATTCTGTTTCTAGACATAAAACTAAGGTTTGTATTTCAGGAGTGAATACTTGTGGAAGATTTTTTTTGACCTCTGATGTTCTTTCTCCATGTACCTGACAACTTTGTCAAACTGTGTGAGAATATTCTATCTTCACAGTTAACCAGGATAAACTATTACCTGCTTCTTAGGGTGCAGATCTTTAATTTCTTGCATGGCAATCTGTCCCCAGGGCAGCTCTAGCTCAGAAAAACAGTAAATGCAGCAGATGTTTTGCCCCAGTACCTCCTAATTGTAAAGAGGGCTGAGGAACAAAATCCACTTCAAGGAGAAAGGGAAGCATTCAGGCTACTGCAGAAAGGTTAAACTTTTCTTCCTTATGCAAAAAAAAAAAAAGTGTGTGTGTGTAGGGTTTCCTGTAGCATTGGAACATATTAGTCGTAGTAGCTACAATGAGTTCATTCTGAATTGTTTCTTCGTTTCAGCAGGCATTGCTGTGTTTTTTTTCCAGTTTGCTTTTCAGAACTATTTGTGTGCAACTTAAGACTTGCAGGAAAAATGAAATGCACTGGATTCTTTAAGCACATATAATTTCAGTAAGAGTTGAGTATGTAAGAGAAAGAACCTTCAGAGATTATTATTAAATATTATGAAAATAAGTAGGAAGAATTTGAGATGTTTGGGAACTAATCTTTTAAGAAATAAAATTCAAGTGTTAATTTTCCTATTATCTATTTTAAAGAATGTAACTTTTAAGTTGTGGCTTTTAATAAAACGTATTTCTTCCATTCTGTTTTTGGCACTGTGACTAGGTCCTGTCATGGATTCATCCGGAGAATCAAGCTGTTATTATGCGCTGCAGCCAGCCCCTGGTTGGAATGAGTGGGAAGCGGAACAAAGACGATGAAAGATACCTTGATATCATCAGGGAGGCTAATGGACAAATCTCAAAACTGACCATCTATGATGCTAGGCCGAATGTCAATGCAGTTGCAAACAAGGTAAATTGATGCTTACTTGTTATTTGTGAGGGAGGGTGTGATGAGGACTTAGAATTTGAAGTTTTCTTTGAGGAGGTTTCTCAGAACTATAAAAACATTGCTATAGGTAAATTTACTTAAATATGCATATTTACCTGATCAAATAATGGCTATCAAGGCCATGAAGGAACATGCATACCTAAAGTAGGTTATAAGCAGGGTTTTAGGATCATATGTGGACTTGGAGACACCCTTTACCCTGTCACACAGATCTTAGTGTGTGGCTGAAATCAGGTACGATTACTCTGTAGAGAGAGTGTTTTCATCCAAGTGAGGTAGACGCGGGCAAAGCTGTAGAGTGTGTCCTCTTGTTGGAATGATGGAGCATTTGGGTGCAAGCCATGGCTCTGCTTTCCTGGAAAAGCTGTGCATAAAGCCAAGTTCACTGATAAGGAAAACCAAACACAGGATGCTTAACTATTATGTGAACCACTTCAGTTCTATGCAGACATCCAGTAAATAAAGAGAAAATGACAATTAATTTAATGACAATGAGAAAATGACCCTTAATTTAACTTTTGGGCTTACAATCTAAAGAGTATAGGCATAGCCATGGATATGGCTATGGTACATATGGTACCAGCTTCTCTCCCTGTGTCTAGGATAGTCCCTTGCCCACTGAACTTGTGGCACAAGTGAAGTGAGCAAGCTCTTCTGTACTTAGGTGAAGTTGTGAGGCTGTGCAGCAAAGAGCACGAGAGAGGTGAACTCAAGAGGGCTTGAGATCTTAGCAAAATGATATGTACTTACCTGGGGAGAAAGGAATTCTAGCTTCTGAATATTTTTCTTGGCATAAAATACTCATTTAGTGGAATCAGTCCTCTCCAGTGTTTGTGCTGAAAGAAATAGGAAATGATAAAGCTTGTTTGCTTCTAGGAGGGTTGCATGCAACATAAACATTAAGTTGCTTCAGAATTCAAGTGCACCTGTGATCTTAGGGTTTAGCTCTCTAACTTAAACACACTGTCTATACCTTTACAATGCCTTCTCTGTAATAGAGAACACAGTTTATTGAATAAGTAATAAGGCTTGTTTTATCTCTGAAAGAACGTATGGTGTACTCTGTCCCAGGGGATGTTTAGCTAGGTCTTGATGTGATGGATTGTATTTTGGGGGTATATCTCCATTGCTTGAGTTTTTCTGCTACGAATTACATTATATCCTCTCTCTATACAGTGAATTTTTATGGGTGAACAAAGCACCACATTTTTGTTACAGATGTGTAATCCATCTGTTTGCCTTGTGGAAGGAATGTCAGTTCTTACAATTAATTTTTTCCTCAGTTCTTAGGCAAACTGTAATATTTACCATAGATGTTTCAAAGGTGCATTATGGCCAAACTTTGTACGTGCACGCATCTTACTGAAGATGTGTGCACAGTTTTCAGCTTCTTTGACAGACTGCATTTCACCCATGTGTTTTAATTAACTCCTGATATGTGAGTATGAAACATTAAATCTTAAACTCTGTAGGGCACATTTCTGGATCTGAGAAACAGTGACTTAAAGTGCAAGGCATTGCTGATCTGGAAAAAAAATATTTCTTGAATAGCTGTGAAGGTTAGCATGAGCAAAATGGGGCTGCACTACTCATACATTTCAGTGTTCTCAGGACTTTGGACAAGACCACTCCATCAGGAGGAGCTGCTGCAGCCTAAAATTGCTAAAATTGCAATCGTTCCTTACCAGGGCTTCAGAATACTCAAAGGAAAGTGAAAAATACAGTCATTATTGCCTTTAGCAGAGAGCCTGGCAGCCCTGAGAATATCCCCACTTGTGAGGAAGGAGGTGGAGAGTGTAGAATAGAGATGTGGTGCTACTGTATAGAAATGTAAGTGGTACCAACAGGAAAAGGTTATACCGTACTTCAGGTTGTCTTCTGATGTGTAGTTGGTGGCTGTAACATCTTAGAGAGACAGGAATTATTTATCACAACGCATGGCATGGCATGTTTTTCCTGTCTGTAGGAAATGCTGTGATTTTGCAGCTATCTTCAGAAAGCCTCATCAGTGGTATCATCCTAAAATACATGTGGTTTTTGTCTTTCCTCCCCTGTGAGCAGGCACATGCTCTGCTATCCTCCTCGGGTAGCGATGAAATGCTTAGAGAGAGCAGCAGTAGAGTAGACTCTTTTTTAATTTCTTAATGATCTAATGTTTAGTCTTCAACAATAATAATTAATGTTATGAAAGTTACTTTAAAGTATATATAAAGCTTCCATAAATATTTTTTTACTAGTTTAAGAATTCTAGTGTTGGTCTTTAAGAAGCTTATTCTGAAGTTTAGCTTGTATTTAACCTTAACTAAATTCTTAAATGTAATTCTACTTGGCCAAACGTTTCACTGTTTTTATCTATTTAAATATCAGTTCAATTTTAGCAGTAAATAACTAGGCAGTTTAAGCCCAAGAAAGATTTTTTTGATAGCGAGTTTGCATTGGTAAATGCGAAATTTACTCTGGTTTAAATTAATGGTGTACAGAAATAGACACATCCTTTTGACTGCATTTCTGTCTAATTAGTATAAAAACAAACAAATGAGCAATTTTATTTCCAGAAAGTGCTGATCTAGTATGTTACAAGTAATTGCTGTTTTGTGTGATGTACTCTACATTTTAATTTAACCTTTGTAATTTGCCTGGAAAGTTGATTCCTTTTGTATTCAGAATTATAAGCTTGCTTAATCCCTGGTGGGAAAAGTGAACAGAAATGAAGTAAAAATATTGACAATGTAATGTCAGACAAGGAAAAACTGTTTACCACCATTAAATCTCTAAAGAAATAAGGAAGGTACAAATGTCCTTTGATTTTTCAAAGCGTCCTGTCCTAAACTGATATGTGTTAGTGCTCTGTCCCTTACCTAGCTGGTTCAATCCTATTCAGAGTCTTCCAGGCCTGACAGTGCAAACAGCCTTTCTAGTGTAAATTTAAAATAATTCATTTCCCTTTTTAGGGTGACTCCCTGATGTATTGAAAGGAACTAGGCTAGCTGGATCAACCTGAATGTCTTTCTGGCCCTCTGCTATATTTAATATACTTTGTCTTTTTGGATGAACGGAAGCTGCTGAGTATTTATTTTCTGCAGTGTTTGCTCCTCCAAAGCTTTCATCTATTTTAAACAAGCGAGCAACGAGCACAGTTAAATTATACTTTGTTTTCTAGTTAGGCGACATAAATTGTCAGTCTGTTCTCCCTCTTTTTAAATGATGGTACAACAATGTACATAGGACTACAGTTAATTCTACATCTCTTGTTTGTAGGCGACTGGGGGAGGATATGAAAGTGAAGATGCATATCCCAATGCAGAACTCTTCTTCTTGGACATTCACAATATTCATGTCATGCGGGAGTCTTTGAAGAAGCTGAAGGACATTGTTTATCCTAATGTGGAAGAATCACACTGGTTGTCAAGTCTGGAATCAACCCATTGGTTAGAACATATAAAGGTAATTTTTTAATACTTATTTAAAATTGTAATTTACTGTTTGACCTTTGAACCTTTTGTATCGAGTACAGCTGTAAAAAAGTATTGGAGTTTAATGCAATGAATCCTACTTAATATTTTCATTTTAAGTTAATATTTGGAAAATAAGCCTATTAGACGGGTAGAAGTGCCTTTTTCTAACAACTGAGATGCTTCGGTAATTTAGTCCAAAGAAAGAACCAAATGAAATACAGAAATTTTAGAGAGTAATTCCTACGGTAAATCCTCTTTTTCTTTTAAAAAAGGAGCTTATGTTCTTCAGTTTATCAAGGTTACTGTTTTCTGCCCCATTTTTTAAGAATTTGCTGTGAGATGAATTAGATCTTACTAAGGGATTAGGGAACCAATCTGTTCCTCTATTTTTATACAAGAAATTTACTTGATCTCCTACAAGATTCCTTTCCAATTAATTATGCCATGCTCTGTAGGTCTTTTAATGGAAGCAGTATCAATTTAGATACTCTGTAGATACAACAAAATCAATTTATTTTTGTTAGAATGATAACACTAATCTCCTTTTTTGTTTGGTGCCTGTTAGCTTGTCTTGACAGGAGCTATTCAAGTGGCAGACAAGGTATCCTCAGGAAGGAGCTCTGTGCTGGTTCACTGCAGTGATGGCTGGGACCGGACAGCACAGCTAACATCGCTGGCTATGCTGATGCTAGACAGCTACTACAGAACAATTGAAGGCTTTGAAGTTCTGGTGCAGAAAGAGTGGATAAGCTTTGGACACAAATTTGCCTCGGTAAGAATTAGAAGATACTTGTGAGGGCTATGCAACGTTCATGTTACAAAACATTTCTAGTGTTAAGTTCCTCATTGTGACGAGGTCTGAAAATTCTTCTTGTTTTGGAATTTGGACATAAAACATTGCTAGGTAAACCTGAGCAGAGTGGTTTTTGTTTTGGGCCTGTTTGGTTTTAATTATCCGTGTTCAGTACAGCCTTTAAAAGTGCAGAATTGCTAGTATAACTGGTGATTGAGCAGAGAAAATGAGAAGGCAGAAGAATGATGGCTTCCCAGGCTTTTCAGAAAAAGATCAAATAAGGTTGGAACATAAGGTTTTTCTTTCTTCCCCTATTCCTGCTTTCCCTACATTTGTACTGTTGTAAATGTCACGGGAGGCAGATGAACAAGTCTGAGCAACGTTTTGAGTGATATTTTGAATGCTGCTTCTCAGATGTTCTAGAACTTGTCATAATAGGTCTCAAAGGGCTGTCACTGGTAACGCCAACTCTAGTTCTGTTCAGGCTTCTTCTAGATGCTTAGAAGGTTAAGGGGAAATCTTAGTCTTTAATATCCTACTCATGTGTAATGCATCTTCAAGAGAAGTTACTTAACAGACAGTTTTGTCCCCTGTGGAATATTTTAAAGCTATTATTTGGTATTCCTAAAATCAGGAAAACAGGCAATCTGAAAAATGAAAAAATGGAAAAGTATACCTAGGGGTGTATTTCATGCTGATTTTATGGTTGGAGGAGTGTCTCAGTCATTTGGAAATCCCATGTGTTGCTGTTCAGCATGAATCACTTCAGTTTGCCATCTTTGATCTGACATTCAAAAGGTGCTGTGAGCCTTAGGAGATTTGCATTTTGACTGTTAAGAATATCAGGCTTTAGTCCATATTTCTGAGTCCCTACTGGAGTCTTCTAGTACTGATGTTATATAAACCTTTCATGTACTCTGTGTCGGTGTAGCCACAGCAAGGCACTGATTTGCCTTTTTTATTCCAGTTGTATTTTATTAATTTTAAAAACATTAGTCATAATGCAGATAAAGTTAGGTTGTATCACTTGGAGACCGGTAGCCTAATGATGATTCAACACAGCTTAAAAAAGAGATCTGTATGTCCTTCATTATGAATAAACTTGAATCATCTGGAGGTTTCTTTACTAAACCATTAATTTGAGTTTCAGTAATTAGAGAAGTCTTTTCCTTTTGACAGGAAATGTTTTTCTTCTACTAGTGAAGTAGGTCTTTTAGAGCCCTTCCAGGTGACTAGCTCAGCCCACTGGGTCATCTCTGACAATGTGGCAGCAGTTAAGAGTGATTTTAATAGCTTGCCTTTGCTTAAAATACTGCCTTATTTTCTCAACTTGCTCACTGATGTAATACTCATTGGAAGTGGTTGAAACCACTCTCCTTTAAGTGTGCTGTTTTCTGAGAGGACTGTATAGTTTGACTTGATGGGTTGTTTAGTGTATAGTGAACGTGCTTGCTCTCTAGAGTGTCTGTAGAATAAAAATAATGCAACCAGAAAATATTTTGATTGTACATGCTCTGCACTTCAGTGCCTTAACCAATGTAGCTGATAGAAGCTTCATATTTTCAGGTTATTGGAGTTGCAATTTGGATGTTTTTAAGATTAAACAAACCTACAGAGTATATCCTGACTACTTAGTAGTTCCTGACAGTGTTGTATATTTAATGAAGCACTTAAGTAGTTCTGTGGAAGAAGAATCCTCTACCCCAGCTTTTCTATGTATAGTGAGCTTACCACCATATCCAGATGGCAAAATAGCTTGCTATGTGCAGTGTCATTGTTCTAATAATTCTATTATAAGAAATGGGACAGGGAAATAATTACAAATGGGAAGATACTCAGGCGTATACAAATCCTTAATAAGATCCTACAGCTGATAACCACAGTGGAAGTAGGAAGGGCTTTCCTTTCCGAACACATGCACGACCTGCAGGATAGATCCCACCTATTTTAAACAGAAAACCTGTGAGCTGTGTGGCCGACTTGTTTTGCCTGTAGAGCTATTCCGGTAATTTACTGCTGTTGACTAAATTTAGCCGCAATCCCTCACTTCCCTCCATTTTCTGCCATTCAGGTCTATTATTTTAAGTTATCTTGCAAATCATTATATAAATCATTATATGTTACAGAGAAGTGTAATGGCTTCGTCATTTGTCACGTCCTTAAGACGTTCTGCCTGCTATCTTACAGGCAGATAGACATCTTGGTTGAACATACATGCTCTCCCTTTGTCTCCTCCAGGCAAATACGTTCAAGTAGAATTACAGGATTCAATAATATCTGTTTTCCTTGAATCTCTTATCTGTTTTCAGCTATCAAATGTGAAAAGGAAGGAAATAGCTTTTACCAAACATACTTTCTCTATCTGCAGGGAGAATTCCTTTGATTGTTACTGTGGTCTCCTTTTCAGAATAAGGTGGCTCACCCAAACTTGTACAATGCACGTTAATCTGTCAAGAACACAAACATTTATTTGAGCTTGGTCATGTTCCCTGTCCTATCTTAGGGTGTATCTTCAGGTTCAAGCGTGGAGGTGGGGATAAAAGAAAATCTGTGCAGATAGCTTCATGGTACAGGTTCTCTAGTGGCTTAAGTTATAAAAGAAGACAAAGTGTATAGCTTGGCTTTTGATAAATGTATTATGGAAATATAGTTCAAAATGTTTTATTTGCAATATAATGGACGCTTTAACAATTGTATTTTTCTGTTACATAGAACTTGGGCTTTTGATAAAAGGACTTATTTGGAATAGCTCTCCTTCATGGTACAATAAGTAGTTTTGAAATCGTAAGAACAGGTTGTTCTGTTACAGAAGTGGTTGTATTCTAATGCAAAATAAGAAACGGTGTCTATCAGCCATAAAATGGACTGTTTTCGTTAACAGGAGGTTGTATTGCTTCATTTCAGAGAATAGGCCATGGTGATAAAAACCATGCTGATGCAGACAGATCGCCCATCTTTCTCCAGTTTATTGATTGTGTGTGGCAGATGTCTAAACAGGTATGTTATGTCATTCTTCAGAAAGTAACACTGTTCAGAGGTTACTAAATTCAAAACCTGGGTCTTAAAAAAAAAAAAAAAAAGGTATTTCAAGATAACAGAATACCTCTCTGCTCTGATGCTATAGAAACAAATATATTTACTTTCAAGCCATAGCAGCTCTCTTGCCTATTTCTAAAAGTGCTATCCAACAAGTATGATGCTTAATACAGGGCATTCAGGGATAGCATGCATTGGAGATGGGCTTGTTGGAGGTACATTGAGAGATGTGACCTGGCAGAAAGCTTTTACAAAAACTGCAGTCAGCTAGCTTAGCAGGGTCTGTTTCACTTCATCATTTTTTTGTGAAGCTGTTCTTTGAAATACCTAGACAGTGGTGTTTTGTCAAAGCTTGGGAGGTGTTGAGTGTTGTGATTTAAACGTATCTTCAGTAAGTAATGAAACAAACTTGGTCTGAACAGAATTAGGAGGCCAAGAATTAGGAGGCTAAACCCTTATTTTTTTACATGGTGCTGCGCTATGAAGAGGGCACTATGGATATCTTAATCTCTCTCTACTACAAACATAACAGTAACCATTCAGTATTGTATTCTCCTTAGGAAATAACGATTAATTGGAGTGTTTTGAGGGTATAGTTCTTTTTAATGGCTAGTTTGAGGAGATGGAACACCTCGTGACTTCTGGACTCTTATTCTGCTATGAAATATATGAAGTATTAGGTTAAAAATATTTTTAAATGTTTTCTGGCTTCTAAGTGCCTTTCTTAGTCTCTTAACCAGGGCATGTTCATCTCTCTGGTTTTACAATACAAAGAACAAATTTGCCTTTTCTGTTTTAGTTTCCTACAGCCTTCGAATTCAATGAGCAGTTCTTGATTACAATCCTGGATCACTTGTACAGTTGCCGGTTTGGTACTTTCTTGTACAACAGTGAGTCTGTTAGAGAAAAAGAGGTCAGTCAAACCACTGTTTAATTGTACTCCTATCTCAGTGCTAGATGATTACAAAAAGTTCTGATTGTGTTGTATTTATTCCTTGTATGACAGTGTTCTTGAACTGGCTTTATTCTCATGGTACAATAGTTGATGAATTCCTTGTTTTTTCTAGCTTAAAGACTATACAGTTGCTAAAATACTTGTCAAAAACTGTTTTAGGAATATTTCTAATACAGTAAATTCTACAATCCTAAGTAAATCAGGAGTGTATTATTGTTAGAATGTAACTGTGGCTTCTGTGATGGGTTTCCTGATTCTGTGCAAATATTAACAGTTCCTATTTCAATTTCATTTCAGAAAGTGACTGAAAAAACATTGTCGTTATGGTCTTTGATAAACAGCGAAAAATCTAAATACACCAATCCTTTTTATAGTAAGGAGCTAAATCGAGCTCTCTATCCAGTAGCCAGTATGCGTCACCTTGAGCTCTGGGTCAATTACTACATTAGATGGAACCCAAGAATTCGGCAACAAGTAAGTAAATTGTCCAAAATGTACAAAACGCTTGGAGATGTTGAAAATAGGTTTTTGTGTCACGACTAATTTGTAGAAGAGTATCTGCAATCTGTTCATTTTTTAAATATTACATTTGTAAGGATAGAAGGAAAAAAAATGAAAATGATTAAGTTTTTGGTTTTGACATCACCCAACTTCTCATAACACAAAGCTTAGTTCACTGCATCCTCTAACTCTTTGGAGCCTCTCTTCTTGGGGGCAGGGTTGAGAGAGCATTTTTAAGGGCTGTGGATATTACTGGAGGGTGAATGACAATGCTTAGAAGTAGTGCTTACTGAACCCTGGGGAGTTAGAGCACTGGCATCACAAGCACGCTTCACTGCATTTGCATTGTCTTTCTCTTTTTTCTGGGAGAGCATGCAAAGTCCTTTACAAATTAAGATGAACTATTCAGGTTCCTGTTTTGGAAGTGCTATTTCTGTTGATGGTTTATAGTAAATTCTTCCTGTTTGTTGTTGTTGTTTTTTTTTTTTGCTAAAGCTTTGACCCAACATTTACATTGTTTAAATACTGAAGGAAGGCTGTTAAGTATACTAGTGAATCAGACTGAAAATCCAGGAACACTTTTATCAAACTATACATAATTTATTTCTGCACTTCTAATGTTTGATATCTGAATGCTCAATTTTTGTTACATTTGTGCTAAAAATCTAGGCAATATGGCATGTAACTATAGTGTACAGAGACTTATTTGTCCTGCTTAACAAGCTGTGTAGTTTTGAGGAGGAGAAAACAGAGGAGCAATTTCTTTGACAGAAGCAGTGTTCACAATCCAGATTCTGGAATGAATCAGGAGTTTTCAAGCAATGCAGTTCCTCTTTCTGCAGCTGATCTCCTATATTATTTACAGTACTCTAGAGGCTGTAAGGAAGCCAGACAATATGCTATATCTTCTTGCAAGTATGTCACCAGTTTTAATTTGACGTTCTCATTTTAAGGCTTCTGTTGCTTGCTGTGAAAGATGAAGGCATTTCATAAAAGATGAATCCAAAAATATCACTTAAAGTGAGGATACTTAGGGTACACAAACTAGCTGTAGTAAATCTACTTTAAAGTGGTCTTTACCATTATTCAGGAAAAATTTTTGGCAGGAGTTTCTTATTAGATATGCAAGCCTGTTGTGATAACATCCTGTGCTTCTGCTAGTGGTACCTCCTTTTCACCATGTTTATGTTTGAAATGCAACAAATTTGTTTGTTGCACATGAAATTTACGCTTTGTCTTGACTTAAGCATCTGAGTGGTGCATGTGTGGCATGAACCCTTTTTTTGAGATGACCTTTCTTAGTGTCATTATGTAGAACCATGAGGGCATCAGACTTCTGCCTGATAAAGTTTGGTCTGTCACAAACAGCACTGTTAACCCTACATCTCTCATCATCTTAGTAACTAGGTTCAGTCTTTGATCCAACTTCCACATTTGCTTCAACACCTATTACCTCCTTCTCTGGGGTGCATAGCAAGTGATTTGTCTGAGAGCCACTGGTTAGTTGTTTTTGACCTGGTAGGGTATTTAAATTTGCTTCTGCAAATTTTCTGTTAATAACTGCATAGAATAGAGAAACAGCAGCAACTTCTTGACAGGCATATAATAGTTAAAGGTAATTTAAAGCCTGTATCTACTTTGGATATTTATAACATTTCTTTTCCATTTATTTTATTACTCTATCTGTATGAAGGAAGCAAAACTTAAAACAGATCTAGTTGGTTTTGCTCTGAGTAATCTCCTGAAAGCTTGAGTAGTTGATTTTTAAACACGTTCAAGTCTGTTCAGAGTATTCACTAATGAACTTTGCATTTACTTCACTTGTTCATTTATATATAGTTGCAAAGTTACTGTTAAAAAAAAAAAAAGTAATTTTCATCAGTAAGAGTGGTTATTTAATCTAAAAATTTGGATTTCATCTTAACCTGATCAGCATAGCTAAACTTCAGTCTGGCTAACCACTTTTTTAGGAAGACAAGACATTAGAACTCTGGAATCTACTAAAACCTCTTAAGTCAGGAAGAGAAAAGCTGTGGATGAGATACTCATCTTACACACAATATTAGATAATAAGAAAATAAAATCCATATACTCCAGGAAATTCTGCCTCATTTTTATTGAGGTAGGAAGAATTGTTTTGAGTAAAGCAAGATTTTGCTTTGGATGAAAACAACTTTAACCCAGAGGGCTCTTGCATTATAGAATCAAATATTTCTCTTTAGCTATGACTTGGTACGTGTGTTGGAAACTAGAAATACTAGGTACTACTGGGAAAATTACAGATACTGAAGCATCCTTTATAGATGTACTTGGACTGAAGTGATAAAGGACTAATACAGATCTCTTTCCAGCAGCCAAATCCAGTGGAGCAGCGTTACATGGAGCTCCTTGCATTACGGGATGATTATATGAGGAGACTTGAAGAGCTACAGATCACAAATAATTCTAAGATATCCAACTCATCAGCCTCATCAACATCTCCCTCGCAAATGATGTCCCAAGTACAAACGCATTTTTGAAGAAAAAGTTGGCTTCTTTCTCTATTCTAATAGCAAGTGGTGCTTACTATAGATCTATAGTATAAAGAAGAATATTTTAATGCCTTACATTAGACTGTCCTAACACAAAGTATTTTTAGACTGTCTTCATTTGAGGAGGACTTCAAAACAGACTGAAACCAACTCTTCATTTATGTGCCTTTCAGAACCTGTGGAGTGGGAACATGAATAATCAGCTTCTAGTTACGGAATGCTTTGAGTTATTTTGGAAAGCCTGGTACAATTGAATTGAAATTGATTGATTGTTTTCCTAAGAATGCTTTAATTTATTACATTGTAGGTTGTGTTCCTGTGAGGGAATTCATGCTCAGTCTGGGTTGTGAATAAAATACATGAACACCAATAGGAATATTCACATTGTGTAAAATTAGGTATGTGTGTATTCCTGTTAGGAATAGGACTATGGACTTCATGAGGCAAAAATAAATCACATTGTAAGATTTCAGAGAAGTGTTGAAATTTTCTGGTTACCTGAGAATTCCAAATTTTCCTGTTCCAAAATAAGTGAAAATCTGGAAGGAATTTCTCTGATAACTTCTCTTTCTAACTAAATTGTTAAAATAGCCCAGTAGGTACCAAAATAAAATAAAAATCTATTTTTATTGTAACTCTTTTGAACAAATGACAATTGTACTGGATTCTGGGAAGTCCTTTTTTGGTTAACTGTTGAACATTTCAGTATATTACAAATTATCACTGTTGGCTTTTTGGATTAATACAGAATAAAATGCTTCTAAAGAAGGTTGATAAAATTAAAAACATACCCACAGGGACATTGCTTAAATATCCAGCAATAGCCATTGTATTAAACCATGAGTATGTCTTATAAAAAAAATAATGTGCCTGTTTAGAGGAGCTTTTATACCAAAGTAGGCAAAAAAAAAATCAATTATGAATACTGTTGAAAACTTGTAAATTTCTAGTTTACTGTTTAATGTATATTTAACTTTTGTTTAATGAATTTATTCTTAAATATTTAAGGGATTTCAGTATATGAGATTGCATATAGTGTGTGCACTTATATTGAACCTTCCAGTGAGTTCTAGTTTGAAGTCTTCATTTCAGAGGCTTTTTTTTAAACCTTTAATTTGTTTTTTTCAGGTATTTTTTAATAGTTGCAAGCATTTCTTATGACAGCACAGACCTTGCTACTTGATATTTAATTAGGATTTTGCATATTCTCAGAAGTTTAATGATATGCAGGCAAACTTTGCAATTCAGAATCTGTTGAGGACTGATACTGTTATTTTTAAGGAGTTGTTTTGATGCTTGAGACTTCTATCACTGTAAATTATTGTACATGTGAGTTTTGATCTGCAGGATATAATAGTATTATATATAAATTAAGTTGTGTAAGTATACATAATATAGTTTTAGAAATTCTGCAAGTTTATAAAGTGTAAATATTTTGCATATGAAAAGTAAATTTAAATCTATAGTTCCATAAAGTAAGTCAAAGTTTAGAGGACAGTCTGAATATTTTTAGAAACAGTATTTTTTTTCAAAGAAATAAAAGTATACCGCATCTTGATTTGATTCAGTATATACACTGAGTTGCACTATTTTTTTCAGGGAAGCTCAGAGCATACTGCATGTGTGTTCTAAATACACGTGATTTCTATGACTTACTTTTGTCCTCTAAATTTCACTCTCCCTTCAATGTTTTTTCAATATGTTTCCAAAATGACATTTAATTCCGCGATCCTCAAATCGTGGCTTGTTGAGGTAAATAAGATGCATTGCTTCAGATGAAGGAGGATACTCAATTGATCATGATATACTTATGTTTTGAAAACTATGCATACTCTGGTATATTTGCCTTCTACTTGCGGTTTATAAAGTTTTTAAGTTGTGGAGTTTTAAAGTTTCTAAACATATACAAGTTTATTAGAGTATTTAAAGTCTGTGTTTGAATTGAATGCATTGGTGACATCTGAGCAGTGTGGAGGAGTTCAGAAAATATAATAGTTTTTACTGTGTAAACACTACATGTTAACCTATTGCATTTGGGGAAGTGTAATATAATGGAAAGGATCTTTTTGCACTTAGCTCATTACATATATTCCATTCTTCATGTTACTGCTGCGGTTGAATGCCATTCTTTGGAACTCTCTAGCATACTAGCTGTGTGCGGGCTTGACTTTTTTCAAGCCAGCAAGTAAGATACTTGGATTTAATTCTATTTTGTGATGGCAATATCAAGTAGACAAATGTAGGGATGTTTTTAATCCAATGCTTTCTGGAAAATACTACTTTCGAGTTATTGTGAATGTAGGCATACAAACTGATCAATGTTAATAGGAAGCTTTTCATCTTTCCATTTAAAGGAGTGATTTGGGCTGTCGTTCTGCAATGCACTGCGAGGCAATACACTGTATCTGTACAATAGCTCCCCACTCAGTCCCCATCCTCTCTTCTCAGCTGTGTGGGTTTTGCATAGCAGCTTCAGAAATAACTGAAGTTAACATGTTACTGTAGCCGTGGTAGTCAGGAACAAAATAGAGAAAGTTTTGGAGGTGGTGAGTAAGAATTAGGCACTGAGTGCCTTTTTCAGGAGAGGGGAAAAATGCAGGGCTGAGCTGTAAAACCAACAGCTTCAAACACCTGACAGCCGGTGTGGAACATCAGTCTCAGAGCTGTATTTTAGTGGTGGCTTTTTCATTTTTATTTTTGTATTCTTCCTTCCATGGACCTGAGCGGTTAACCATTTCTGTACCGGGCTTCCCTTGCAGAGGAAGCTGCTGCTGAACGCCTTCTGTCTTTGCTGTTTGCCTTATCCCCCCCAGCACCACTGTTGGGGTGCACCCTAGAAACCATTTGCATACTACCTCCTTTCGATGTATGTTTAAACTCTGCCTTCAGCTCTCTTTTTGTCCCGTTCTGTCTCATTTGCGTCTAGCGTTGTGTCCCCCAGAAGGCAGCTTTGTGTGCCCGGCCAGCCTTCTGAGGTGCTCTCCTTGCCTAACACCCTCAGCTGGCCGGAGAGAGGGGGCTTGCGAGCCATGTACGCGTGTGAAGGAGAACCCAATAAAGCTCTCACTTTGAACCCAGCCGCCTCAAGCCAACGTTTAATTGCCTCTGTGTGTGTTTGTGTGTGTGTGAGGGGGGAGGCAGCCGGGGCTCCCCCTCCTTCCCCCGCCACACGGGGCCGCTGCCCGCCCTGCCGGTGCCGCGGAGGCCTGTGGGTAAGCCCCGCCGCCCGCTGACAGCTCTCGGCCGCCGCCGGGGCCCGAGCGGGGCCGGGCTGAGGCGGCAGGGCCGGGCCGGGCCGGGCGCCATGGAGCGGGCGGCGGCGGCCGGGCCGCCGGGGGAGGGCGGCGGCGTGGTGAGGGGCCGCGCCGGGAGGCCGGGGGTGGCGGCGGCAGGCAGGAGCAGCGGGGACCGGGTCGCGGCAGGCCAGCACCGAGACGCTGGACAGGTGAGAGGGGAACGGGGCGGGGGGGGACCGGGGACCGGGGCCGGTCCCGGCGCTGCAATCCGGCACAAATCGGCGGCCGCCGGGTTTCCTGCCTGCGGTCGCGAGCTGCTGGCTCCGGGCGGCGGGCCTGCAGGATTTGGGGTTTTTTGGGGGAACTGCGTAACTTCTGGTCCGGGCGGAGGCGGATGAGGCAGCTCTCGCCGTGCTGTTCGGGCCGTGCTGGGGGTGTTTTCAGGGCGGAAGGCGGCTGTGGGGGTGCCCCGCTGCCCTGCCAGGCGGGGGGCAGCTGCTGGGGGCTCTGCACACAGGGGTTGGGGTCCCCGCTGTGCCCTGCGCCACGGCTTGGCGCTCGGAGACAGGCTCACGAGCCTAAAATCCTTAAACAAGATGAAACTTCACTTACACGAAGGAAAGGGAAACAACGCTGGGTTTAGGAATTGGTGCCAGGCTCCACGTTTACGGGCTTTTCTCTTGGGAGAAACCGGGAGTTTTACATCCCCCTAGCAAAGGTGGGAATCAAAGGCCCGTTACCCATCGCCAGCATTTACATCTCTATTCCTTCCTATGGTGCTTTCATACCTCAATTTTCATCTTTTTTTTATTTTCTTCTCATCCTGCTGGACCCTAGAAGGTTACACTGATGCTAGATCACGTAATTTATTTGCTGGTGTGGTTGCAGCAGGCTAAGGCGCTGTGCGTGACCTGGGAGGGAACAAAACACACTGGGGTGCTCCCCGCTGCACAGGCAGGGCTCAGGCTGCGATCTGCCCCCTCCGATACACTGAGACGTGCTGGGCCTCAGAGGTGTGCCTGTGCACGTTTGTTTCCCTCCTGGCATCAAGTTTGTTGATCTAGTGATTCCCCGGGGAAGATAAGCCAAAGGGAAATATATCCTTTTCTTAATTAGTTATTTGGAAACAAACTTAGGCAAACCCTAAAGAGATGTACTGGAAATCAAGAGATGTGAGGGTATGTGAAATAAATGAGCTCAGGAAAGGATTACTGTAGGTTTCTAGCTCTTTCCCTGTTTTGCAAAATGTAGGTGAAAGTTTCTGTAAGTGTCCTAACACAAGGGTTAGAGTTTATTCCATGTTCAAGCAGGAATATCACGGATGTCTTACTTGCAAAATAGCATTTTGTGACCTGGTACTGTGTAGAATTTTGCAGGTGGGGAGAAAGCTGCCAAAGTGTGTCAGCAAAGTTTCTAACTTCATGCCTGAGAAACCTTTGTGCTGGCTGCCTGCCCCTACCTAGACTTGCACAGTTAGCGTGAAGAAAGACCTCTAGTTAAGTAGCAATTTGTCATCATCTGCCGTTATCCCGCCCTCCTAACATCCCAGTTGTACCTGTTCTGTGCTGGCTGTGTGCACGTAGTGATTCACTTCATTCTCACGGGATACACACAGAATCCCAAGCTAATTTGTGAATGAATTTTAAAAACGAATTGAAATATTCTGTTTATGTTTGACTTCCGAATAAGCGTTAAATCTGCACCAGCGCCTAGCTAAACTGTTTGAAGGAACAGCAGTTATCCAATGCACGAGCTGAGCCTGCGTGCCGCTGGCGTTCCCAGCTTCTCATCAGATAATGGCACGTTTTGAAGCAGATCTGGTGCACTTCACGGGGCTGGCAACCACTCATAATTGCTCTTCACTGTCAATGCTGTGTTACTTGTAAGCTGTGCTAGCTCAGGCAACTGCTCCGAAATGCATCCTCTCTGATGCAGTGCAGTTCTGCTGTTCAGATTTGTTATCTTCAGGGTTCTTCTAAACAGCCCATGCTGCAGAATTCATTGCTGTGGCACGGGAAGGCCAGTTGTGAACATTATTCAGAGATTATTTTATGAATAGAAAAAAAAAAGTAGCTAAATAGAAGCTACTCTTTAGAAAACATACATTTTCTATTTTTAATATTAGTATAGAATACAATATGACAGTAGTATGTGTTTTTAAATGCTAGCATAGAGGGATTTTCCTATAGAAAATCCACAGAGGATTTACTGAATAACCAGGAAATAACAATAAAGAAAGTATAAGGTGTTTCCTGTTACTTGATCAAATTCATTGCATGGATGGTGTTAAGAAAAATATGGGTGAATGTTGAAGAATTTACACTGGATAATGAAACCAACATTTCTGTAAGCTCCCGGGTCCCTAAGCACACTTTTGACCTTTTGACAGTACTACATCTCTGATAAGATTCAGTGAAATTCTTTTCCCTGAGTGGTTCAATGAAATAATTGCATTCTGTTCACAAGAACAATTTTTGTAATGTTAATGATCATTTATGGCCTCCTTTTGCATATGTGCTCAGTGGCTGTGCTGTTTTCAATGTACATCTTGAATTACTACTGAATAATTTCAAATCTTCTGTTCTTGTAGCCCTACTGGATCACATGTTGAATGGTGCAAACAGCTGATAGCTGCAACAATTTCTAGTCAGATTTCTGGGTCAGTCCCTCCAGAAGGCGTGTCCAGAGACTACAGGGTAAGTGACTTGAGGGATGCATTGGTTTGGTTGAGATAAGAATGAATCATCAGGAAAGTCCTTGCTACCTATTTATCAGGTGGTAAGTACTTAAGTGGTCTCTGAATGTGTCAGAACTAGAGACGTCTCATTATGCACCAGCATCTTTTGAGTCTCTTCTGTGAGTAGTGGCATTGAAGTCTATAGGAAAATCAAAAGTCAATGTTTTAAATAAAAAGCCAAAAGTGAGTTGTCTTTCCTCTTGATTACTACATCAAAAAAACCCTGGTAAAGTAGATTAATAATTACAGGTTGAAATTGCTTCTAGTGTCATCTGGAGTACAAAATTGAGCTCTTCAGATTTCACCAAAAAAAAAAAAAGCATATGTCATTGTTACTGTGCAAAGAACATAAATGATTATCATTTTGCATGGGGTTTCACCAGACGGAGAGAAATTAATGTCAAACAAAACAAAATCACTTGTTTTGTTCCCTCCCGGCAACATTTTTGTCATTAAAGTAGCGATTGCACGGTGTGCTTTACCTAGGTTTCATTATGCTTTTCATCCCCTATTTTGTGCTCGTTTGCTGTTTCCAGTACGCCGACAGCCAACTGAACTATCAAGAGTTGAGCAAACCATCTAGAGTAGAGCATACTCAGTTTTCATCGTCTGATAAATTTACAAGTCACCCATGTGTCAAGTCCCCTTAAGAAAGGCAGGCTGTTGCTCTCTGGATCTGAGTCCTCTCAGATCCTTTTTCTTCCTGGATTTGAAAGAACTTTATGTTCTTTATGCAAAATGGCCAAATGAATATTTTACCTTTCTTGTTCTTAACAAGATTTTAAATTATTTACTAATAAGCTCTGCGATTGAAGTCTGTTGTCTGGAAACAGCGTATTTTAGCTTCTGTGACTGCAGGTCAGATTCACCCCAAGCTTGGAGATGAATCTACAAAATGTTTTTGATCGCAGTCTGTTTAGAAATTCACCTCACAGAGTTTCACATCATTGGCACAGTCAGCAGCTTATCCTCATAAAAAAGGGCAGCTCTTTCCTACTATGGCAGCTGAATTGCAAATGCTTACTTGAGGTCAAGGCTAACATCTTTGATAAAACGTTGTGGGAAACCTTGCATTACAGCTGTCGATGTTGTATTTGCCCTGTAGATCAAGGACTTCATTTTAGTAAAATCCAAGTGTGTAAGCTTGGTGCTCAGTTTGTCTCTGAGTTGTATGACAACTCTCCAGAGTACAGAGTGCTATTTTATTCTTAGTATCCTCGTTCTCTATTCCAAAGTCATCATGGATATTGCTTAAGAGGAATAAGTCTTTCGAGGCCTAATTAGGAGTGTTTAACTCTGCTTTGTTCTCTGTTTCTTAGAAATAAAAAAAAATAAGCCTTACAGTATTCAGAATTGTGGAAAAATGGTATTTGCCATCACGTGATTGTGATTTGAACTCCCGTATTTGTATATAACATCATGTAATTTTTTTAACCTAGAATTTCTTTATTTAAATTCTGAACCAGTATCCTGTAGAGAGCTGTCTAGGAAAGGGTTTCCTTTGCACTTAGCTTCTGTGCAAGAAGTTGGGTGGTGCTGCCAGTTGCTTAGTCAGGACCACAAACACGCTGGGTTTGCGTAGTTCCAGAATGACAATTCAGTGCCGCACGTGCAGCATACAGAAATGAACACAAGCTCAATATTTTGGAAAGATGTGGTTGAAGTTGGCATGTGTGTAAGTGAAGAAAAATATGCACGGGCTAAAACTAAGGAAAATACAGGAAGTTTATTTAGAAACTTTACTGCCCAGATATTAGACCTTCAAGAGTTTCACTTATTGAACAGTTTTCTTCCTGAGTGAGGATAGTTAATTATGCTGACCAATTCTGAATTGCATATGACTTCATATAACATTGAGACTCTGCTTGATTTTGCCTGTGATTTAAGTAATCTGTCCAGATGTGTGTAGCACCTTTTGGCATGTTTTTCATGTGCCAAACCAAAGCTTTTGGTTTTTGTGGTGTCTTACAACAATGGAAAGGTTTTTATTTTCGTCATTATAACACCAAAACCAATAGTGCCCAGCATTAGCAAGTGTTTCAACAAATTTATAGTGGTGATTCAAATTCTTTAAAATTAATCTGTATTTCATATATGTGCAAGT